CACCACCACCACACACACACACACAAACGTGCTTCTGGAATGAATCGTGCTTCCAGGACAGATCAGGCAGCCACAGGCTGTGTCTCAGCCGGAGTCGGTCACATTTGTCGACTGCTTATGTCACTAACCCGCACTGTAGGCTGTCCCAATTCGTTGGCGCCTACACGAGGCTGACAAATGCAGCTGACAAAACACCGAAAACGTCGGCTGCAGCTGAGTAGCCTATGCAGCTGACGGTGTCCAAGAATTCATTGCACAACTTTCTTTTTTTCCTTTTTCCTTTTACAGTACAGTACAGTTCGATCACAGACAAAAACATGTAAGTTAAACAACTTAGCTGAAGGAACATTTGTTGCAATGAGAAGTTAAATAAAATGCATTTACAAGTACTGATACTGGAGCTAAACCCAGCTTATTAGTGCTTTTTATTTGTTTCCTTGTAACATTTTTAACTGAATTATACGAAGTTGTACCTTGAAAAACTGAAGCGATGTGATATAAAACGTATCACCATGTTAACGAGGTAAACATACTTCTTCTGTAGACTAGACTTTCTCATTTCACAGCCATTTGTGCACCCCCCCTCCAGACCGTCGCAAGTTTCAGATGAGGTTCTGGAAAAAAAAAATTAAACTGTCTCCATACTTTAATTAATGCATAATTTAAGTTGGTTTTTAGTTTGTGATCTTCATATCAATATTGCAGTGTTATACAATAGCATTAAAAGCCAATGTAATTTAATCTAACAATTTATGTTGTTAGATACATTTAAACTCTAATGGTGCGTTCACACCAAACGTGATTTCAGCGTCAGGAGCAGCAAGTTTACATACAAAGTCTGGACGCGCTTCAAGCAGCGTCGGGAAGTGCTGCGGCGCCTCAAGCGCGATTAGAGCAGCGCGATTTGAACGATCTGAGCGCTCGACGCGCTGAGGCGCAAATAGCTGAAGTTAGAAAATCTGAACTTTTGCAGCTCGACGCGCCGCATCAACCAATCAGAGAGACTCCACTGTGTGACGTAGCGACATATTTCCAGCATCAACCAATCAGAGAGACTCCACTGTGTGAAGTAGCGACATATTTCCCGACGGGACAGTTTACTGAATGA